CTTGTAGATTCCTATAATTACGAATTTAATTTTTTCAGTACTTTATTTAAAAACGTATAAATATAATGCAAGTATATTAAAAAATATTATTAGTTAATTATAATAAAATAAATAAATTAAATTTATATTCGAATGAAATAAAGAAACCAGATTTATTATATATGAATAAAACGAAAGAACCAGATTTATTATATCTAGATGAAACGAAAGAACTGGATTTATTATATCCAGATAAAATGTAAATTTGAATTGGAAGAAACCAGATTTATATTTGAATGCTAAATATCAGTTCTAAACTCTACATAAGCTATAAAACTATTAGTTTTTAGTTTATTATAAATCTTTATAGTTATTAATATCTAAAGTTAATACATTTATATAGGAATTAGTCTAATTTTAGAATAATCAATTTTTGTATATTACTATAATTTTTCATTATATTTAAATATTACACAATTAGTTAATTGTTTAAATTAATTTTTATAATACTTCTTATTTCAAAAAATATCTTTACAAAAATCAGCTTTATAAAAATAATGAAAGATTTAAAAAGTTTAAAACATTAAATTTGAGAATTTTGAAGTTGAAAAGGATATAATAGTTAATAAATAAGGAATGAAAAAAATAATGATATAAAGATATGAATTTAAAAAATAAAAATTGGTAAATAAAAGAATTTTATAAATATGCAAAAAATTTTAATAATTTAATTTTAAAAGTCAATTTAATATTAAATAAAAAATATAATTCTTATCTTGTTAGGCTGATAAAAAAATTCATATTAAAAATATATTTAAATATTTTATAAAGGATACTTTTTTTTTAAATATAATTGATGAAACTTTAAATATAGAAATGAAGAAGATAATTAGATATTTAAAAAAACTTTAAATAATAAAGATAAAGGAAATAATTAAACTTGAAAATATTTTGCAAAAATTTATAATATTAAAAGAAAATTAGAAAAATCTTATAAAAAAATATCTGTTATATAATATAATAAAAAAAAAACAATATTTGAATATCTTTAAAAATTAGATAAAAATGATGAATGCAAGTATAAAAATTACTAAAATAATAGTTATTAATATTTAAGGTTGCTATACAAAATTTAAGTTATTTAAATAATAAGATAAAATTTAGTAAAATTATATTAAAATTTTATTAAAAATCTACAAAACTTTAAAAAATAAAAACTATATTATAAAAGCTTATAAAAATGCGAAACTATATCAAAATTTTAATAAAAATTAGTAAAACTAAAGTTTAGATATTTTGCTAAATTCAAAATAAGTTTAGATAAGTAATTTTATTAATACTAGTATCTATAAAATAACAATAATTTATAAATAATATTATTAGATTCAGTTTAATTATTTTAATATCTAAGTTATAAGTATTATAACAATTGATTTTACTTATTGAAATTTACTACCTTAAGATATAGAATGATAGTATAATCTTTTACTATATAATTAACTTTTTTAAAAGGATTTGTATAAATAATTATATAGCATTTTATATATTACTAGTCTAAATACTATATATATTATTTAAAGTCTGTAATATATAATAAAATTTTGTGATTATGATATAATATCAAATTTAAGTAATTATTAAAATTAAGAAGATTACAAAAGATTTTATTATATTAATGAGCTTCATCTACTAATAAAAAATGTTCAGCTAAAAATTTTACAATAAAAATAATATATTCTAACTAAAAAAGTAGAAAATAGAAAACATAAAGTTAAATTAGTATGAAAAAAAACTAACTTTTTAGTTTTTTAGTATTTCAACTTGTATTTAAATCATGATTAACAGAGAAGAAGAATACTTTTTATATTTTAATTTTTTGAGTGTATAATTTTTTAATTAAAAGTATTTGAAAATAAAAAAATTTTAAAAAGTTATTTATTAAAAAACTTTTATTATTCAAAAAAACTTTTTGCTATTCTTTTCATTAATAATTGTATTATTCAAATTTTATAGGTATTTATTATACTTGAATTAATTCTGCAATTTATATATCTTAAAATTTAAGATTTATTTAATTAAACATAATAATAACTCAAAAGCAAATTAGTATAAGATATTATAATTAAATCTTATATAAAGAATAATATTAAAAGGAAAGTATTTTTGTAGGTTTTAATTAATTTCTTATTTATAATTTAAAAGTTTAAAACTCATCTAAAAGTTAATTTATATAATTTAAATAAAAAGTTATTTTATTTATATAAAATTAATTTAACAGCTAAATATTTACTATACTATAATTAATTAAATATAAAATATATATTATAATAAAAATATACTTAAATGTAATAAATAATAAAAATAAAATAAAAATAAATAAAATAATTTACAGATATTAAAAGAATTACAAATAAAATAAAATAAATTGATAAACAAGCTATACAGAAAATACAGAAAAAATAAAAAAATAAATGAAATAGAAATTAATACTGATTACTATTTAATACACTTGAGAGATTATATAATATGAGATTATTATTGATTAGAAATTTTACATAATATTAGAAATTGTAATTTCTTTTATTGATAATATATTATATAATTTATAAAATTATTTGTAATTATAGTTTTATATAACAATTATACTTTAATGCTAATTAATTTTAATGATGTCAAATTAATTATGTTAATTTGATATTTATTATAAAATAATTATATTTGTTAAAATATATTTTAATTAGTAATTTATCAATTCATGCTGAAGTATAATAATAACAATAATTTAAATATTTATATTTAATAAATTTTATAAAATAAGATTTTAAGTAATAATTTGAAAATAATTAATTTTATTTATAATAACAAAAAAATTAAAAATATAAAATATTCTATTAATAATTGAATATGCAAAATAATTATAGAGAAAGCTAAAAAATATTTAAAATAAAGTATTAAATTTTTATAAGTACAGTATATTTGATAACAATAATAGCAATACAACTCTTTATATAACGAATTTTGATATAATGAATTTCACAATATAACGAATTTTTGGTATAGTACAGAATTTCCTATATTTTGTTATACCAAATTTACTAGTATAACAATATATGAAGAAAATTTTGTAAACACATTATATAAAATGACCCTTTTTATAACGAATTTCATAGTGTGACAAATAAACCTAACCTCAACGAAAAAAATTCTGTCCCAAAAAAATATAATAAAATTGAAACATCACCAGTGTAACAAATCACATAACACCTAACCCTTACCCTACCAGCCAATCATAGCGTGGGGGGGGGGGGGTAAATTAGTAAATCCACAACAAAAAAAAAAGTATTTTATGAAAATTATTATTATTATTATTATTATTTATAACAATAGTTTCTTTTAAATTGTAATATTGTCTTCTTGTTACCAATGATTATAAAATATTAGACTCATAATTCTAATATTTATAATTTAAATTAGTTCAAACAATAAAAAAATTTGAAAAGTTTTATTTATAAAACATTTGAGAATCTACGACTCCACTTAGTACGATCAAATCCTGCAAGAATACAAATTCTTTTAGATGAAATATATAACAGCTGGCTGCGAATAATTTACAAAGTTCTTAAAATACTAAATAATATTATTATTTGAAATTCTACTAAAGTAATATATTTTGGTCTTAATAAAGAGCGTTCATATGATTCCTTTGAAACATTTAAAGATACTTATTCCTAACGAGAGCTCGATCAGTTGATGTACCCTTTTGTCGAATTAAAAATTAATTTACTATTCTGTTATATAGAAAAAGAACATTATAAAGAACAAAACCCGCATCTCGTATCTGTAAATGGCTCAAAGTGATCGAAGTGCTTAACCGCAGCTAGACGAGACCATGTGTTTTTAAAATTTTGCAAAAGTTTTTGCATAATGATAATGTCAAGGAACATGTGCTGACAAACAAATTATATTTTTATTATAAGTATACGATGACGATCTTTATTAAATAAATCCTATTTAATAATGCTAGAATTAGGATTTTATAGTAAAGCTCCCGTTAAAAACTCCAGATCTTTTGATAATAACAATAATGAAGTAGCTAAAATATACTAGGAAAGGTAGAAAAATATAATATATAAAAATGATAAAATAATGTAACTTAATATTCTCTGAAGATCATAATGATTTCAATTAACACGTGATGATTTCTCGTTTGCAAGGAACAAAATAAATTTAAAGTCGAAACTTTAATATTCGGAAAGATTTATAATAAATCAATAAAACGTCGTAAATCGACCTTTATATTAGAGATCCGTCGAAAATCAAAATCGAAATATAGGGTCTCCCATTCGCAAAAATGAGTTTTGCCCTGCAACTATTAAAATAATACCTATCCTAACGGTTATTAATCTAATATTCCATTTAGCAAATTTTTTTTACATAAATCAATTCTTGAATATTCCTTCAAAAGTAAAATATAATGGACCTGATTTGAAAATTTACACATAAGCCCATTGAATTTATTGAAAAGAAATTTGAATTTATTGAATTTCTATAGAAAGGTTATTTGGTCTCAAATGAAGTGAATAAGTGACGGCTGACAAGTACAGTTGGCGTCAATCTAAGAATTTAATCTATTGATGTATTTAACAGATGCGTTATGTAACTTTTTTTTTTTGATTGTATATATTATATAATCGCCGTTTCTGCTGTTATTATTATTCTGATCCATTTTCATTTATAAAGTCAAAATTGATCATTGGCTTATGATCAGAATGAAATTCATCCAACAATATAGAAATAATTCTACACTTTTGGGCGATAACTTCCAATTGTTTATGCGTAACCCAATTATCTTTATCCATCGCTTTCGAATACTCAATTTGAGCGGTTTTTATATTCGACAATAAATATCCTTTATCTCCTAAACATAAACAAGTTGATAACACGTCTTCGGGTATATTATATTTTGTCAAGAGTGTATGATGGCTATAAAGATTTGAATAAGAAAATGAAGTTAGCAAACGATAAAGCCAAAGATCACACACATATATATATATAAAAAAAAAAAAACTTAATTACGTACCTTTCCATTCGTTTATTTAAACAAGTCTCACAACAAATAATTTGAAATTCCCAATATTTTTTTAGCAAGTTCACATCGCTTTCATCACAAAATTGACATTTCTTGGCTAATACCGTTAGCCAGAGATATTGTTGTTCACTCATACCAATAAGTGGTGGAGATTTTAGACTAGGGTAAAATTTATGACGAGAATTACGCCAGATTTGTTGCGTTATAATTGATTTATCCGACCATAAAATATTCCTTAACTCTTTGCACACTGAAGAGAGTGAAAATAAATCTTGAGGTAATAAATTCTCACAGATTTCCGCCAATAATTCATTTGGAAGTATTAATAATTTGGATTTTAGTTGAAGAGTGGTGTGATGTTTTAGTGGTAACTTAAAATTGGTACGAGATGAAGTGATATTTGAAAATATTGAAAGCATCGTAGAATTTAAAACGCTTTATAAATGATGAAAACAAGATGCGGGAGAAATTCGGGGATAAAATTTTTTTTCAAAAGTAGAATGTGAAGGGAAAAAAAAAAAAAAAAAAAAAATGTAAAAGAAAAAAGAAAGAGAAAAAAAAAAGTCAACGAAGAAAATCCTAAAAAATTATTTTTTTTTTTTTTTTTTGAAAAAGGTGATCAGCTTTATATAAGAAAATTAGAGAATATTCGATTTACGATATTCCGAGTTTGAAATTAAAACTTAGTACAAATATAGAATGTTTATAACTTAAATTCCGCCATTCTCTCATAATTACATATTACAAAAAGGAGTTCAGAAAAGAAACTTGGAAACTGGAAGGTTATCGATATATTTATTACATCATTGTAAAATGCCGAATCTTAGAATTTTCACTGCGCAAGTGAACTACGAATTAAAAATTCGAACTCCGAATTCCGTGCGGAAAATACATGACCAATAAGAGTGATTCGATTTTTATTATAGAACTTTAAGAATGTTGTCGGAATGATTGATATACAGCAATGATAATAAACCTTCGATTCTTAAACAGTTCTTGCCAAATCTCATCCTATATTATCCCAAATGTCTAGCTGGTAAAATGAGAAATATGAAAGCAACTATTCATAGGTTCTGGAAAATATTTTTAAATATTTTGATTTAGTTTTTTGATGTTATTAGATTAAAAGTAATAGTCTTGATTTTAGACAAAAGAATTCTCAGAACCTGATTTTTTTAGAAATCGTCCCATATATTAACACTTGACATTTTTTTACCTTATTTAAACTCTCAGATTGACTGAAATATTTCTTGTTCTCAGATAAATTGTCCAACTATAGAGTTCATTTATGAAAGATTCTTTTTTAAGAATTCTTTAACTAAATCTGTCTCATTATCTAAATCTTCAACATTTTATTGATGATATTAAAGAAACTTCCAAATTTCGGTTTTACCAGAACCATTTGTCAGATTCAATCTTTGATTAGTAAGAGTTGCGAAGTCATGTGACTATGAAAACCCTAAACCTATCCCAACGAATATCTATTTGTTTTGTTCTTAATAAACAAGTTTGTAGAACATCATCAACAAGGCGACTAATCTCAAATCAACAAACCGGATTATCTTTAAACTTTGTTGGGCAAGGAGATATTTTTTTTATATCTTGTCAATAATAGATTCTGTAAATTTTCGAACGTATCGATTATTACGTAGATTGATTTGTGATATGATGCCAATTTTTTTGCGGAGAAATCTTGAACTACTTGTTCTTAAAAAAAAGTTCTCCCTTTGATTCCTAAAATCTCTGTAATTTATCTTCTTTATGACCGGAACTGAAAAATAAAAGGAGAGATTTCAAATTCTAAATTAATTAAAATGAGAAAGTTTATATCAGTACAACGTAAATATTTGTCGACGCGTTCAAATAATTGAATTCAGTGACAATTTTAATTGGTAATTTAACGAGAACCTTTTTTTTTTTTTTTTTTTTTTTTTTGTTTACGCTTGATTTGTAATAATTTAATATGGTAAATTTCAGACGCCCTCAGGTTGAAATTTTTTTTTTTCACATTACTTTGTAACTAAGACAACAATGTATTAAAATGTGCGCACTGCATTTTTATTGCCATTTGCAGATTATTGAAATTATAGAAAACAGGTATATTATTGATGGTACCTTTTGTGATTATGAAGACAATATTAAAATTTATCATTTTTTGTTTTTTTAAACCGTTCTACAAGTTCCGATAATTGACTAATTATGGTTCACATGAATTTATTCATGAATTTTTTTGCCATAAAAAAAACGAACGTTAACAATGATTTTATGAAACCTCCTCAAATTGCTGTGGGTGTAGAGAGATGAAAAAAAAAAAGATCAACCATGTTTAGTGGATCTTTTAATGCTTTATTGTAAAAAGCTAAACTGGTAATTAAATAGTTTTTAATAAATCTGCAAATGACTGCAATGCACATAATACTTTTCTATTCAAGAAGGAATTAGTTAACCAAATTTAACGTAATTTGATCAACAAAAATGCAGTGATGGTTTTGTGTTTCAATTAGGATATAGATGGTATAAATAAGATGCCAATTTTACCCTTTTAACTTTACGAATAAAAAATCGTCGAAAAAAATAAAATAAAATGTCTACTGATCATATGAACATCGATATCCATACTTATCAAGTACCTTCACGGCTTCTTGATTCTAAAAAATGTCCCAAACCTCATATTGATGCTATTGAAAAATACAAACAACTTTATGAAGAAAGTATTAAAGATCCTCAAACTTTCTGGGGAAGAGTAAGTATAATGTTGGTTCGCTATATCTTTTTAAAATTATATTTTATGACATTAAATAACATATAATTAATAGTTCGCCAAAGAATTACTTCATTGGCACAAACCTTTCGAAACTGTTCTTACTGGTAGTGGGTTTGAATATGGTGACGTTGCTTGGTTCCGTGAAGGTGAATTAAACGCCTCCTACAACTGTGTTGATAGACACGCTCTTGTCAATCCAAAAAAGGTAATTTTAAATAACGCTAGGATATTTTTTTTTGCACGTTGATTATCGTAACGCGTACCTAAAATTTTCCTCGTGTTGAAATTATTGTTATAATTAGACCGCGATTATATATGAAGCTGATGAACCTGGAAATTCTCGTCATATCACGTATGAAGAACTTTTACGTGACGTTTGTCGTCTCGCCATCACCTTAAAAGAATTAGGAATAAAGAAAGGTGACACGGTGGCCATTTACATGCCCATGGTTCCGGAAGCCGTAGTTGCTTTCTTGGCATGTGCGAGATTAGGTGCTGTTCATTCCGTTGTCTTCGCCGGATTCTCGTCTGATGCATTGCGTGATCGTATTCAAGATGCTTCAAGTAGATTGGTTATTACATCTGATGAAGGAATGCGCGGTGGTAAAACCATTTCCACCAAAAAAATCGTTGATGATGCAGTAAAGGATTGTCCTACAATTGAACACGTCCTCGTATTCCGTCGTACCGGTTCGGATGTTCCATTTTCCGCCCCACGAGATTTATGGTGGCATGAGGAAATTGAAAAACATCGACCTTATTGTCCACCTGAAATCGTTAATGCAGAAGATCCTCTATTTTTACTTTATACCTCCGGGTCGACAGGAAAGCCTAAAGGAGTTCTTCATACTACGGCAGGATATTTATTGGGAGCGGCGATTACCTTTAAATATGTGTTTGATTATCATGAAAATGATATTTATGGTTGCATGGCAGATATTGGTTGGATCACAGGACACACCTATATCATTTATGGGCCACTGTTAAATGGAGGTACAACCGTTTTATTCGAATCCACCCCAGTTTATCCTACACCAAGTAGATATTGGGAAGTGGTTGCCAAGCATAAAATCACTCAATTTTATACCGCCCCAACTGCAATCAGGTTATTAAGAAGATATGGGAATGATTACGTTAAAGGTCATGATCTATCAAGCCTTAGAATTATCGGTTCGGTAGGTGAACCAATTAACCCTGAAGCTTGGGAATGGTATTATGAGGTTGTTGGAAGGAAAGAATGTACTGTCGTGGATACTTATTGGCAAACAGAGACCGGTTCTATAATTATTACGCCTTTACCTGGTGCGACCGCAACGAAACCAGGTTCGGCTACTTTCCCATTCTTTGGAATTGACCCTGTCATATTGGATCCCACAACAGGAGAAGAAATCAAAGGAAATAATGCTGAAGGAGTTTTGGCGGTTAGACAGCCCTGGCCTTCAATGGCAAGGACCGTTTATAAAAATCATCATAGGTATTTAGATACTTATTTAAAACCTTTTAAAGGTTATTATTTCACAGGGGATGGGGCTGGTAGAGATAATGATGGTTATTATTGGATCAGAGGTCGTGTAGATGATGTTATAAACGTTAGTGGACATCGATTATCTACCGCTGAAATTGAATCTGCTTTGATCCTTCACCACGCTGTTGCGGAAGCTGCTGTGATTGGTGTTGCTGATGAATTAACGGGTCAATGCGTACACGCTTTTGCTACTCTTAAACCGAATGAAGAAAAAACTGATGTTAAAGATTTAATCTTACAAGTTAGAAAAGTTATTGGTCCATTTGCTGCTCCCAGGAAAATTTATATTGTTAATGATTTACCTAAAACTCGTAGTGGTAAAATTATGAGACGTATTCTTAGAAAAATTGTTTCTGGTGAAGCTGATCAACTAGGCGATTTAAGCACCATAAATAATCCTTCCATTATTCCCGTCCTAATTGAAAAGGTTAAAAGTAGTTAAAGGGTGTAACCCCCCCCCCCCCCCCTTCTTATTTGGGGAATCTGTTAAATTTAGATTTTTTGTATATTTATATTATTTATATTGAAAATATTTTTCTTTTACATGTTTTTATATGTTGAAACATTCATGTCAATAAAAAATTACAATCAAAGATACTTTGTAAATTTTTGATATTAGTTTGGTTTGATTTTTTATTAAGTTCAATCTTTTTGCATAAATTAGTTTGACCAATGTGATGAAAAAAAATAAAGTACACTAATTATAAAATACAATACGAAAATTTCTTATTCTAATAAATTTCAAATTGTTAGTCTGGAAAAAAGGAAAAGAAAATTTTTTATGTACAGTCATTCTAATTCAATTATGTTTCCTGACAAGAATTGAAAAAGAAATAACTTTCAATAAATCCGTCCATCGCTCACCTAAGGGGAAAAAACCTCCCGTCTCATTCATTATTATCTCCTTCTTCGGCCCAATTACCATATTCATCTTCTTCTATATCATCATCTAACAACAAAATATAATTGTCAGGTATTAGCCCAGTTTTTTCATCTAACTCCGCAAATAACCAACCCTCACATTGACGATATTGTATCAAAAGAATATCTCCTTCTTGAAAACTTAATTCGTTTTGATTTTCTGCCACAAAATCATATAATGCACGCGCACGCCTATTAGTATACTCATCATCATCATCTTCCCCATCTGATGATGATGGAATCCTTTGACCCCAATGTCGAGGATCATCTGTGGAAAACGCAAAGTCTCTAATTTTTATTTCGGGAAATTGGTTTTCACCCTCAATTGAGATGATGCTATATTCTAAGTGGAAAAAAGAATGTGAACTTAGTCAGGATTCAACTTGCAAATAAAAAAAGAAATGAAATTGCACAATAACAATAATTACCTTTTGCACACTAAAATCAATTGAATCAATTCCGTAAAAGAGATGAGAAACGTTAATGAATTGAACGATTAAAATTTGAAAAGAATAAAATTCAAATTACCGAACGAGGCCTTTTCTTTTGTGGTTCCCCTATTTCATCAACGTTACTTCCACCACCATAAAATTCGGCCAAAGTTTCCGAAATTTTACATAAAAGTTCTTTATCCATATCATCATCAAATCCTTTATTGTTTTTATCATTACAAGATTCATTAAAATTATCATTATCATTATTATTATTATTATTCTTATTATTTCTTATGCTACTATCTATACAGTTTTGACTATTTCCATTTGTTGTAACAGGTTGAATTTCTGTTCCATTTGATATTTCCATTGATTTTACTTCCGAGCCTTTTGTATCAATTGGTTGAGAAATAATATTATCATTATCATTATTATTATTGTTGTTGTTGTTGTTGTCATTAACATTACCATCATTATTATTTACTTTAATACCATTGTCGACTTTCTTATCAATTTTTACAGCAGATTCTTTGAAAACATTATTATTTTTATTTTGTTCCTTTATATCATCTATTATAACCAATTTCAAGTATTAATAGCAAAATTTACAATTGATAGGAAAAGATTTTTTTGTCCTTTTTACCTTTGGAAGCAATAAACGTTCCCTGTTGTTGAATTCCAATATCAAGTGTACCATGCGATTCTTTTTTCATTTTGAAAAAAGCTTGCGTTAAACAACAAAAAAGAAGGAAAAAAAAAAAAAAAAAAAAAAAATTTGAAATTTAAAAAGGTTAAATTATTAATCTGTAATACATGGCTCGTGAATGAATAATTTGTTTGATCGACAAATTATTAACGTGTCACTTTATTACATCGTATCTAATTACCGACTACCAAAAATGGTCATTAAAAAAAGTGGTTGTTTTTTCTTTCTCGTTTCACCCAACCATAATCGAAAGATCGTCTTATTCGACCAACCAAATTTGACAATTTTTAATATCAAAAATCAAAATATTTATTAATCTATATATAATCTTACTGATTTTAGGCATATTAGCTAATTATTTGTAACACTATTTTTTAAAATGAATGAAACATTTATCGATTGTTAAAATGATTATAATGATTAATTTTTTAAATCCTAAAATAGAATAATATAAATTTGAAATATTAAATTATTATTTTAAAACAAATTCTTTTAAAAATCAAAATATTATAAATATCTTTTTACAGCATTATATTATAAAAAAGTTAAAAATAGGGATGTTAAGCGGTCCTTAACCGGTCCTTAATTACTTATCTATAATAAGTATCCTCCATCAAAAATGTCATAAAAATTTTATAATTAATTTGAAAATGATATTCAAAATTGGCAATTTTGATGTGATCGCCAAGTATAGGACCTAAATCCTAAAATTTTAAATTTTAAAAAATTCTGGGATTTCAAAAGGGTTTATTATATATTTTCATTTAGTAGCTCATTAAAACATTATAATAGACAAGTTTCATAATAAATTTGTAATATAATTCTTTGTAATTTTCTTAGGACTTTTAGGACCGCTTAGGACTGCTTAACATCCTTAGTTAAAAATATCAAAATACAGTCAACCCCCTATATAGTCACCTCCTAATTAGTCACTCCTCCATTTTGTTATGTTAAAACTTATTAAAAATCCTCTTCTATAGTCACATCATATAACTTTTATTTAATCACACCAAATTTTTTTAGTTTTGAGGGGTGTGACTATATAGGAGGTTGACTGTAATTATTAATTGCTATAATATTTTAATATTAAATATTTATTTAAAAATGTAAGAAATTTAAATATTAAAATTAAAAATAAGAAATATATTAGAAAACTTTTAAATTATAAATCTATTAAAGATATATATAAGTATATCAAATTATAATTTATTAAAAAATATTTATAAACAAGGTTAAAATTTTATAATATTTATATTTATATAATATATTTTAAATAAATAATTATATTTATTTATTATTAAAATCAATTTATAAATATAATAAATTATATAATCAATAAAATAATTTTAATATGAAAAAGTTTTATTTAAAATATATATAATATTACTTAATTA